ATTTAACTAATGAATTTGCCATGCTCCCCAACTTTATGGCAACAAATTTTCAAATTAAGACTTACTGTGTCACTTAATGATTGTATTTAGGCATAGGTAACAGATCTTACAGTGGCTAATCCAAAGGGGACCACTGTTTTCTGTGTTTTACTTTACGTTTGATATATCATAATAACTGTACTTATTTTGGGGGTATAGTTGATACTTTGATACATGCATACAATGTATAATAATCCAATCAGGATAAATGGGATATCCACCACCTCACACTTTTATCTTTTGCGTTGGGAACATTACAATATCCTAGCTGTTTTGATATATGCAATAAATTATTATGTATAATTCCCATACTGTACTATTAAATACTAGAATTCATTCCCTTTCTCTAATTGTATTTTTGTACCCATTAACAAACTTCTCTTCATACACTCCTTCCTCCTTTCCTTTCCAGCCTCTGGTAGCTACCTTTCTATTCTCTACCTCCATGAGATAAACTTTTCTTAGCTCCTACATGAGTGAGAACATGTAATATTTGTCTTTCTCTGCCTGGCTTATCTCACTTAACATAACAACCTCCAGCTCCATCCATGTTGTTGAAGTGACAGGATTTTATGCTTTTTATGGCTGAATAATATTTCATTGTGCATATATATACAACATTTTCTTTGTCCATTTATCCACTGATGGACACTTAGGTTGATTCTGTATCTTGACTATTGTAAATAATGCTGCAATAAACATGGGAGTGCAGATGTCTCTTCAGCTTACTGATTTGTCTTTTTTTGGTTATATATCAAGCAGTGGGATTGCTAAATTATATGGTAGATTTACTTTTAGTCTTTTGAGAAACTTCCATACTGTTTTCCATAATGGCTATAACATTTTACATTCTTACCAACAGTATACAAGTGGTCCCTTTCTCCACATCCTTGCCAGCATTTAACTGCTGTCTTTTTAAAAAATAGCCATTTTAACTGGGATAAGATGATACTGTATTGTAGTTTTGATTTGCATTCCTGTGGTGATTAATGACGTTGAACATTTTTTCATACACTATTGGCCATTTGTATGTCTTCTTTTGAGAAATATCTATTTAGGTCTTGCCCATTCTTTAATTGGATTATTCGGCTTATTGCTTTTGAGTTGTTTGAGTTGCTTAATATATTTCAGTAGTGAATCCTTTGTCAGATGGATATTTTACAAATATTTTCTCCCATTTTGAAGACTGTCTCTTCACTTTACGTTTTTCCTTTGCTGTGCATTTTAGCTTGATATAATACCATTTTCTGTTTTTGGTTTGGTTGCTTATGCTTTTGAGTTCTCACCT